GAAGCATGACAATGTATGGCCGGGCTTGCTGGCTGCGGTCTGGCATTGGCGGCTCATGTTCATCTTGGAGTCCATAATGACTCCAAGATCCCTTTCCGCCTCTGTGCTTTCAAGAAGGGAACTCCCCAGCCTGTATGTATGCTGTGGATTCCTTCTCCCAGGTGCAGCACCCTGCATTGTCTGAAATGATAGTCTGAAATTCTCAGGAGCCCCTAATACCATAGAGACATGCAACCTCCAAGGGTAAGGGAGATGTGCTAAGATCCACAAGGACCATGAGCTAAACTGCAAAAGGAAAACTTACAGGAAGATTCAGGAAGGTGTTGAAAAAATCGACGAAGACATCATCTTCTAGCAGAACACCAATGTCTGTGGAGGCTATCATCGCTAGAGAGGGAGGAGACCAAGAGAGACAAATGCTGAACCAAAAAGGGAATTTTGGAAAGCTAGTGTAACCTAGGGGAATGAGTGCTATGAGTTGTATCCAGTCATGGAAGGAGTAGATCTCATGTAACCCCAACTAGACAGTGTTGGCTTAAGCTGCAGAAAGCTCACACTTTTACTTCTTTTGGATCCAGCTGAACCTCCAAGTTGACACCCAAGATGGTGGTCATCAGGGTAGTTTATAAAAGGTGAATTAGGACTTAAATAATTTCTGCTAAACCCAATTTCTTCAGACACACAAAAGGAGGGAATTATTTATATGTAATAGTGGAAATTCTGAATGAAAGTTTCACTGATCCAGAGTTTTCCCTACCATAGAACCCAGTTCCAGAAGTCAGAGGGCAACTTCCTAAATGGGTACGGCCCCTTGTCCATGCAGAATGTGCACTGTTTGTGCGTTTCTCCTGCTCTCAGCTTGAGACAGGAGAAACGCTTTGTAGGCTTTGTCAGGTTCTGGGGTTTTTTGCTTTTTTTTCCTAAGTTCATCTTGGGTGTTAGGGTAAGCTTTGTGACTGTGATGTGTGAGAAGGCCAAATCCTGTGGATCCTTTAAGACCAACTGTTTATTAAATGGCTGCCTATGTTTGCAGGCAACTGGACTTGATATAATACAGGCAGTTTCTTGCAGTCCTATGTGTGTTGTATTCTGAAATGAGTGATTCAGTAATTCAGGAAAAAAGCAAAGTGTCTCTCTCACGTGCTCTCAGAGGAGCAGTGCTGATCACTCCTCCAGGTGGTGTGGGTAGAAATTGTTCCTTTCATGAAGTGTATACCAGCTGAGGAATTGTCCCAGGCTCATAAACTCCCAGAAATACCATGCATTACTGAAGAGGAGAGAGACTCAGCCTATGGTTAGAATTAGTAATGTCCAAAAGTTCCTTTCACTTAAGACTCTAAAAGCACTTTGCCAACTTTATCAATGAACTACCCTTTCCAGTATTCCTTGAGGAATTACTTTCCATGTTTTACTTATGGGGAAGTGAGGAACAAGATGGACAGCTAAAAAAGTTACAGTGCTCCTCAGACTAATGGATATTAATGAGAATTTACCCTTAAATAACCAAGATCACACAGCAAATCTGTGACAGAGGCCAGAAGAGATCCCAAATGTCCTATAGCTTAAGCCCGATACTTCCCTCTCCTCTCCTTTTGCATTTTTTTTCCATGCAAGGGGCTGTTTATGATAACTCACCAGTGGTGCTCATGTTTCCCTTGCTCTTATTAGTATACTTGTTATAATATAGGCCATTCTAGAGTGATCCCTCCCTTTGTGACACATTCACAGTTCCTGTTCTGTGGAGTTCCACCTTCCAGGCAGCAACAGGTGATTAAAGCACAGTGCTGCTTTGAAAACAATACTGTTTTCATAGGTACCAGGTTGTTGTTCTTGAATTAATTCTACACTAAAACTGGCATTCCTCCTTCCCGCCCCTCCCCCCCCCTTTAAATGCCAGTCCTGCAAATGTAACTTTGTAATCTGAGTCAAGCTAGAGTCTTTCCATTTCAAGCATCATATAAAAAATGTTAGGAAGACTAAATATTCTACCCACAATGACCTGGGCAACTCCATTACCTTCTGATCAGGTGCTCAGTGGCACCTACACAGCCCCCAGTTGCTTTCAGCGTGCCTGCATAGGTATGACTGATTCACGTTAAGGGCCTGGAGAGATGACATTTTTATACAAGTATAATTTACACTGGTTTTGTTATCCTAGTGTATTTTACAGGGGTATCTAGAGAAGCCAAATACACAGTTATCCATGGATAGGCATAGATGTTATTACTCTGCCATGTCATAAAGTGGTAGAGTCAGTAATAGTTTGCGTTTAGAAGAAGGCTATAATAGGAAAAGTTGTGGAGTGAGAACGCTTACACTGATGTAGTTTTAACCCTTATTTTTTCCCTATTGTAACTGTACCAGCTTTGAGGAAGTTACACAGGTGTACAACTCCTGGCTAACACCAGTGTAAAGAGTAATTATAGCAATGTACATGTGTCATGTCTACCAAGATCCTGGTCACAAGTTTGTTAATGAATCCAGCCCCTGCTGCATAATGTTGGTTATGCAGAGCTAACAGGATTAACTCACTGATTTGCTAACATTGAAAGCTGCCTAGAGCTCAGCCATAAGTGCTTCAGCAAGAAGAGACAAAAGGACAAAATTGCCCTATAGGCAGCAATAATCCATCTTGAGCATTCATCTCAAACTGATCGGTGTGAAGAATGCGTAATGCATCTGCTGTGCAGGAGCTGCTGTTCTCCTCATTCCTATAGATCTCTGAGATTTTGGTGTCAGACAGACACCTCCCTTTCCTCTGCCCAGGTAGACAGAAACTCTATGGAAAGATACCATCCAAGAAAGTGGCCTGGCATTTGGGGCTGTGGTGGCAGCATGGCAAACAAGGAAAAACAGAGAAGCAGGCTGCAGGGGAAACCATTTAGGAACTGTGCACAAGGCATGCTGCAGCCGGCAATGGAGACACATGCGCAGCTGCTGCCAGCAACAATGGAGCCCAGGCTGCTTGCATCGGGGCTCATAGCCTGCCTGCTGCGACCAGCCTTGGCTCCATGGATGGTGGAAGCTGCCTAGAGCCCGGGCCAGCTGTGGTGTCCCAAGCAAAATGGCCTCATGTACCACATGCTATGGCATGCCGACCTTTGGTGTAGACACTGACAGGGCTGGCTAGGGCACAAGTGTGCTTCAGTGCAGGGGCTGTCTGCCAACTAGCCCCACAATAGAGCACACTCGCGCCCCAACCAGCCCCTTCACAGCACGTTGAGCGAGGCTGGAGCAGCCCTGGGCTAGTGGGTTGAGCCCCCCTCCGCCAGCCCTCTGCCAGCTGGGGTGCTCCAACTCAGCTCGACGTGGTGCAATCCCAGATGCATGTGTAAACATGGCGCCCAGGAGCAATAAATTGCCATATGAACTGTGCTGGCATCTATTCAGCTATGCTAAATGCATGAGTAGATGTGACCACTATGTCCAAAAGGGAAGGGAGACTGTGTAAACTTTTGTATGGGTAATGTATAATTTCCCAATAATTGGGTTTAAAACTAGACAAGTATGGAAATTCCTTAGAGGGTAACTAATGCAGGGTACCAATTTAATTAAAAGGAGCACAGATTGTCCAACAACATTTAAACAGGATGAACTTTATATTTCTCAGCAGAAGGTATTGGCAGTTCTCTAAAAATGTGAACTAACTGATTTCAAAGGCTGTGTTTGATACTGATGGAGGAAGGTACATACATAATCTGAAAGGCCATAAGTGATTATCAAGGGGAGACTTTCTTGTAAAATATTAAGAAGAATAGTAGATGGAGGGAAAAAGGAGAGAAACTTTTTAAATTTATAAATATTGCATGGAGTTTAGACCTACGTTTACCTTACTCTCTGCAATCAAAAATGTACTGGGGCAAGTTTATCACTAGTGTAACTTCCCTGAAGTCTATGGAATTACACTGGGAAATAATTTAGTCCATTTACTATGTGTGCTATTAAACTATTTCTAACTTTTTCCATGGGGGAGAGGGGAGAGGAAATTACTAAAATACTCCCAGTTTCACAGGTCTACTCCTGGTTGTTAGGTAAAGAACAAATATGCTATAAAATGTGTGGGTCTTCATCACCATTAACCTCTAAACCTTCTCTGGTTCCCCACTTCATATCCTCTGTGCATAAAGCAGATGACTTATTCCCTCCCAGCAGATACACAAATTATTTCTAATTTACAACATCCTGTTTGTGGTTTGGAGTAGGGCTTTGTGAAGCTTTTAAAAGTTTTTTCTACATACCTCTAGGTAGCAGGGGCTCTGAACGCTGCAGTGCTGGGGCAGATGCAGCATCCCACAGTAGCACGGGGGGGCTCCTCAGCGCACTTGGCAGCAGACCCAAAAGTGGACCAGAAGCACTTCCAGGTTCACTGGGGAGCGTGCTGACCCTCCCTCCGGCTCCGCAACTGGTGCCTCCTGGGTCTGAGGGGACAGCTGGGGTCCCCCTGTGGCTGATCGCCAGGCCAGAGGGATGCGGGGGGGGCAGCGTGCTCCCTGGCAGACCCAGAAGTGGACTGGAAATACTTTTGGTCCACTTCCGGGTTTGCTGCTGTGGGATGCTCCATCCTCCCTAGCACTGCAGCGATCACAAGGCGCGCTGCTACCTCAAGGTATGTAGGAAAAACTTTTAAAGCTGTGCCTGTGTCCGAATCGCTGATTCACCAAATCAGCATCGAATCGTCAGATTTGGATTCGGCCGAATCGAATCGGGGACATGATTCGAATCAATGGATCAAATCACTGTCCCTGATTTGGGCTTAATCCGAATCCAAATAGAATAGGGCCTGTTTCACACACCCCTACTTTGGAACATATCAAGGATTTGTATTAATAAATCTGATAACTCTGGGGGCTAGGAGACGTGCAGGGAGCCAGCTCCAATGTGCTGGAAATCCAGCAAGTTGATTAATTGTGTCTACTGGAGCACAGAAATAAATGCATTCTGGCAGACTAGTGTCACGTGTATCAGTGTGCCTGCGCTGAAAAATGGCAGTGGGGCACTTTGAACTAAAGCTTGTTAGATGAGCTTTAGTTCACTCTGCCACCATTTTTTGGCACAGGGGACACTGATCCACATGACACTTGGGCGCTTTTAATTAGTGTGGCTAGCTAATTAAAGCACCCCCTGCACTTCCTGCAGCATTTGTAAAATGAGAATCTGGGTATATCTACGTTGCCAACCCTGCGGCCCCCCCCGCCCAATTTTCCTGTTGACTGTTAGAAAACAATGTTGCCAGACTAATTTAAGCCTGCAATTAAAACACCGAAAAAAAGATGTCTTTATTTTTTTTAAATCCAGTTGGCTAGCCCTAGTTAGCTGACATGTTTTATAATTGCACTAAATCACTGTAACTTTGATTTTAACTCATTCCAGTTTAACTGTTAATTCCA